TAGCTGTATTTTGTAAAAACGGCTAAAAAATAAAAAGAAGAAAACATAAAAGCAGTTGGAGAAAAAAGATGTATTACCTTACAAGGAGCAGCAATTAGATTGGCATTGACTTCCCAACAAAAACAACATGAAGATATTGGTTGATATCTTCAAAAATGCTGGAGGAGGTAACTTTCAATCTAAATTTCTGTATACAGTGAAAATAGCTTTCAAAAATGAAAGTAAAAGAGGTGTTTTTAGATGGTCCAAAACAGGGAATCTGCCACTAAACTCCAAAGGAAATACTAATGATCTTCAAGCAGGAGCAAAATGATCCCAAATAAAAGCTTGGAGCTATACGATGGAATGCAGTATAATGGCGAGGTTAAATATGTGGGTAGATCTGAATGCCCATTGATTATATAAGACAAAAATAGTAATGTCATGTCATGTGGGATATGTGTGTGTTAATTAAAATATATAACAGTAGTTGTGGAAGGAGTAGAAATGGAGTTAATAATAATTTTCTAATTTGCATTATAATTTAAGGAATCAAAGATATATGTTGTAAGCCCTAGAATAACTCCTTTTTAAAAACCAGTAAAAGAGTGTATAATTAACAAGTAAACAAAGGAAGAAATGGAATAATACAAATTACCTAATCAGTGCAAAACAAAGCAAGAGAGAACAGGCAAGACAAATAGAAAGCAAACATTGATAGCGTACAGTTAAATATATCAATAATTATGTTAAGGGGGCGCCGGGGTGGCTCAGTCAGTGAGGCATCCGCCTTCGGCTCAGGTCATGATTTCAGGGTCCTGGGATTGAGCCCCACGTCCTTGCTCAGCAGGGAGTCTGCTTCTCCCTCTGCCTCTGTCCCCCCGCCCCCCCACTTGTGCGCGCTCTCTCTCTCCCTCTCTCTCTCTCCCTTTCTCAAATAAAATCTTTAAAAATAATTATGTTAAATGTAAATGAACTGAACACATTAATGAAATGACAAAGATTATTAAACTTTAAAAAACAAAATATAACTGCTATTTATAAAAAACACAAGTTAAATGTAAAAATATAGGAAGATCGAAAGTAAAAGGGTGGAAGAAATATACAATGCAAACACTATCCAAAAGACAACAGAAGTAGATATATTAATGACAGACAAAGTTGACTTTTTTTTCTAGGAAAAAGGGAGTACAGCTACCCCCTTTTCAGGGCTTCCCTTTTCAGGGGTCTTTTCCACCACCACCTGGTGCTGTGTAGCGTGCTTGTCAAGAGACGAAAGCAGGAAGTGCCGGCGCGGGGGTGAGGCCCCGAGTCCGGTGGACTCTCGGTTTTATTATCGTATCAGAGAATGTAAAGTATGCGGAAGCAAGGAGGGAAAAACAACTCAAGAAAGCAATCACGTGAGGGGCAGCAGGGAACTGTGTACGTGACTATTAGTATGGATCCTAGTGAGCCATTAACTAGAGGGCTGCAGGGGATGGGAGAACTGACCTCAGCAGGCCTATCTTATCCACCATCATTGCTGTTTTCAGCGTGTACTGTTTTCAGCGCAGACCAATGGTGGGAATAAATTGGCTTTTGCCACTCGCATAGAGCTGTTGCCATTCATGCGTGTTCCTGTTCTTATTGTCTCTTACCCGCTGAGGTCTTGCTCTCCCACAACCTGGGATCCCGTTCAGTGCCAGTTTTATCTGAAGCCGCCTTCCACAAGCAGCCCTACTTCAGATGTATCTTGATTTCCTCATTAAATGTTAACTCTACTGAGGATTTGAATCATGCTGATAAACTATATCTATAAAAGTACCAGTAGCCCCAGATTACATGGTAACAGGATCCCTGTGTTGCCTAACTTCAAAGATTGAACTAATATGGAAATCTCAGGCTCTAAAGTCAGTAGAGAAATACTCAAAGTGTAGGAATCTTTACTAGACAGAGATGTATTTTGTAGTATCCTTTTTATGCACACAGAAAAATAGATGATATCCTGAGCCATAAAGCAAGTCTCAAAAACCTTAAACACAGTTATACTGGTTTTTTGTTTGTTTTTGTTTGGCCACAGTGAAATGAAATTAGAAAATAATAATGAGAAAACTAGAAAATCTCCCTAAAATATGTAGTAGACTTTTAAATAACCTGCAGGTCAAATTTTAAAAATCACAATGTAAATTAGAAAATATTTTAAACTAACTGAAGAATAGAAATATTGCATATCAAAATTCATCACAGGGAGGATTTTTATGGCAGTCAAAAAGTGAAAATATGCTGTATAATCCTATAATGATGGATATGTGTCATTATACATTTGTCCAAACCCATAGAATGTAGAATACCAAGAGGGAACCCTAATGTAAACTGTGGACTTTGGATGATAAAGATGTGTAAATATAGGTTCATCAGCTGTAACAAATGTAGCACTCCGATGGGGGATGTTAATAAGCATGCAGCCTATGCATGTGTGGGGAAAGGGGTTATATGAGAAATCTCTATCTTTCCCTCAATTTTGCTGTGAATAAGACTTCTCTAAAGAAATAAAATCTTTTTTTTTAAAAGATTTTATTTATTTAACAGAGAGAGACGCAGCGAGAGATGGAATACAAGCAGGGGGAGTGGGAGGGGGAGAAGCAGGCCTCCCGCGGAGCAGGGAGCCTGATGCGGGGCTTGATCCCAGGACCCTGGGATCATGACCTGAGCCGAAGGCAGACGCTTAACGACTGAGCCACCCAGGTGCCCCAAAAGTCAGATCTTTTACCCACTAAGATCTGAACAGATAGCCAAAGAAGATATACAGATGGCAATTAAGACTAGGAAAAGATGTGCAACATCATATATAATTAGAGAAATGCAAATTAAAATAATGAGGTATCATGCACAACTATTAGAATGGCTAAATTTTAAAAACTGACAATACCAAGTTATAGCAAGGATGCAGAATAGGAGTTCTGATTCATTGCTGGTGGAATGCAGAATAGTCCAACTACTTTGGATGATAGTTTCAGAGTTTCTTATAATGTTAAATATAGATTTAGCATGTGACCCATTAGTACCACTCTTAAATATTTACCCAAGTGACCTGAAAACTATCAAATACAAAAATGTATTTTTTTGTATGTGTGTATAGAAGGTTGGAGATTTCAACTGTGTGTGATCTGGAAGTTGGTCCTCCAAACGGTTTATTGTTGATGAGGTTTCTTGAAGGAATGGGAATGACAAATATTGAGGAAAGGAGGCTTTCACTTCTTATTTTATATATTTCTGTGTTGTTTTGATTTTTCTTTCCTTTTTTCTTTTTACACATGAGCAAATTTTATTTTGTAAGTAAATACAAAACGATGAAACACTTCTACAAATAACGTAGATCACGTGGAGTCCTCCCAGTTTTACCAGGCATAGTTAACTGCTTTCTCCTTTGCACTTTTTCACTGTACTCTGTGTTTACAAATATCATAAGTAGTAGTAGCTATCACCCTTTGTCTTTCTTCTCCACTAGACTGTGAGCTTCTTGAATGGTGGCTGGGATTGCAGACTTATTTATGTTTATTTTCCCAGTACTTAAGAAAGTACCTGTTAATACACATGCTCAAGAATATTTGTTTGCTGAAATAATGAAGAAATGAATAAATATGCTTGCTTAAGACTGTTTTTTGGGGGGAGTAATCCAATGTAAAGGGAGAAGAGTATTTGATTAAAAATTGAGCATTAGACCAGGGGTTGGAAAAATTATACTTTGAAGGACCAAATAGCAAATATAGTAGACTTTGCAGGCCATATATGGTCTTGGCTTCATATTCTTTTTGGTTTTGTTTACAACCCTTTAAAAATGTAAAATCCATTCTTAGCTTGTGGGCTATATAAAAATAGGCATGGGCCATAATTTGCCAGCCTCTGTCTTAGATGATACCTGTAGGTAGGAGGTTTGGAAACAAGACAATAGAAAACATAAATGTAACCCAGATATCAGCAGAGGCCTCCCTATGCTCTGCTCCTTGCCTGCACCCATAAAATCTCAATAAATTTGACTTTAGTTCTTGATTTCCTAGCCTATTATTCTGGAACCCTCCCCAAGTCATCAGCATATTCTCTTACATCTCTAGCTATGGCCTTTCTGTATGTGATTGGTGTCATCCCACATCAGCATGAAATTCAGTCCCTTCATCAGCTTACACCACACACACACATGCACATATGCACTGAAAATAAGCATTTTATGGGTTTAGTGACCTTAAGGAGTTACTGAGAAGGTTCACATCAAGCATTGTACAGCTTTTCTGCAGGTGCATGGCTTTCTCCCTCTTTTCCCACAGGACAAATTAATTCTTTTAAAAGTATTATGCAAATGAAGTTTTTAAATTAATCTTCCTGAAACCATAACACTGAAGGAGTCACCAAATCTAAGCAGGTTTATCAAGGTACTTTTACCAACAGATACATGTTATCCCTAACATTAAATATTATAATAATGAGAATAATAGCTGCTGACATATATAGGGCTTACTATGGGACAGACACAGTTCTAAGTACTTTACTCTTCGTACTAAACCCATGAAATAAGTATTATTATTATCCTCATGTTACATAATGGGAAACCAGAGTCACTGAGAGTTTAAGTAACTTGTTCACAATCACACATAATCAGTGAAAAAAGAAGTTTCAAGAAGTCATGTGAGGGTGATTAATAGTGTCACAAGTGGAGAGGCCCAGAAGGATGAGATCTGAAAAGCAATTCTTATATGTGGTTGGAAGGTTAAAATTAATGAATTTTTAAAGAACCACTTCAGTTAAATAGTATGATAGAAGCAAGATTACAAGGCATAAAGTAAGAGTAGCTGGTGAGAAAATGGAAGTAATGGTTATGGACCACTTATGCTCAGTTTTTCAGAATTTTTCCTTTGTTTAATCCTCTGTAGCTGAGATAATTAAATCTGTTCTTTCATATAGTTACATCTGTAGTATTATTCCTACAACCTCATAAAAGTTCCTTAATACTGTTACTGACTCTCTCTTCTTATTGTCAAATATTCTAGGATGTGGTGCCACAGGTTGTCCCACCTACAAAGCAGGCTCCAGAACCTGCTGAGGAGAGGAGTCACATGTTGGGCCTTCCAACAGCTCAACTTCAAAAGCTTATTTCCATTAGCCATCCATTGGCACCATACAGCCTCCGAGTCTCTGAATTGCGCTTGGCAGCAACATGAAGATCATTTTGGTAAGACATGTGGAGACAGATACTTTATTTTTTTAAGTTTTTATTTTCATTCTAGTTAGTTAACATATAGTGTAGTATTAGATTCTGCTGTACAATATAGCGATTCAACACTTCCATACAACACCCGGTGCTCATCACAAGTGTTCTGTTTAATCCCCATCCCCTATTTCACCCATCCCCCCAGCTACCTCCCCTCTGGTAACCATCAGTGTCTTCTCTATAGTTAAGAGTCTGTTTCTTGGTTTGCCTCTCTGTTTCTTTTTTTCCCATTTGCTCATTTGTTTTCTTTCTTAAAATCCACATATGACTGAAATCATAAGGTATTTGTCTTTCTCTGACTTATTTTGCTTAGCATAATACTCTCTAGTTCCATCCACGTCATTGCAAATGGGAAGATTTCATTCTTTTTCAAGGCTGAGTAATATTCCATTATATATATTCCCCATAAATGAAATTTAACATCTTACCCATTTTTTTTAAAGATTTTTATTTATTTATTCATGAGACACAGAAAGAGAGAGAGGCAGAGGGAGAAGCAGGCTCCCGCAGAGCAGGGAGCCCAATGCGGAACTCAATCCCAGGACTCTGGGATCATGACCTGAGCCGAAGGCAGACGCTTAACCATCTGAGCCACCCAGGCGCCCACATCTTACCCATTTTTAAAAGATTTATTTATTTGAGCGAGAGAGAGAGAGAGTGAGGGGAGGGGCAGAGGGAGAGGGAGAGAGAGAATCCTCAAGCAGACTCCCTGCTGAGCACAGAGCCTGAGGCAGGGCTGTATCCCAGGACTCTGAGTTCATAACCTGAGCTGAAATTAAGAGTCGGCCACTTAACCAACTGAGCCACCCAGGTGCCCCATCTTACCCATTCCTTAAGTGTACAGTTCAGGTGGTAAGTATATTTACATTGTTGTGCAATATCGGTTACTTCTTATGTGGACTAAAAAACTTCCTGTGGAGTTTTGAGGACCTCTAGCTATTTAATTCCAAGATTGTCCTACAGGTTGCAAGAAAGACAAAAATAATATTAAGGCAGCAGTATAATCTCATCCCAGCAAGGGGAAGGGAACATCGCTCTACTCCAGTCCCACTCTGTCTCCCTATCTCATGTAAGGGGAAAAAAAAGAAATAAAAGAAAGCCTCAGTATATAGGGAAGTGGGTTTCAAAGGCATAGACTGGGAATGATACAGCCAGGTAAAGTATTAGGTAGCAGAGGGGGAGAAAAGCTTTACCCCTGTGTATTAGTTTCCTAACACTGCTATAACCAGTTACCATAAACTAGTTGGCTTCAAACAACAGAAATTTATTTTTTCACAGTTCTGGAAGCTAGAAGTCTGAAGTAAAGGCATTGGCAGGGATATGCTCCCTCCAAAGGCTTTCTTGCCTCTTCTAGGTTCTGGTGGTTGCTGACAATCCTTGGTGTTCCTTGACTTGTGGCAACATCATCCACTCTCTGCCTGTCATGACATGGCTTCTTCCCTGTGTCTCTTCTGTGTCTTCAAACATATCTTTCCTTGTAAGGATACCAGTTGTTGGATTTAGGGCCCACTCTAGTTCAGTATGACTTCATCTTATCTTGATTATCTTCAAAGACCTTATTTCCAAATAAAGTCTCATTCACAGGTACTAGAGATTAGGACTTCAACATCTTTTTGGGGAATACAGTTCAACCCATAACCCTGGAAAGGGACAAAAACAATTGTGAGGGCTACACTTCAAAGACATAGGCCCATTGTTCACTCCAAAGACTGAGACTTAATCCAAATATTAGACAGTGCCCTTCTCCCCCATACATTATAACCAGTTAAAATAACAGTGCATTACAGCTGGGAGATCTGCAAGAGACAGACTGGTTCTGAAGTGCAGCATGAAGAAAAGGGCCAAGGAAGGCCAAGAGGGGAGACAAAAACAAGGTCACTAGAGGAATTTAATGCCTTTGGTGCCCATAGAGACAACACACATCAGACATAAGCCATCTCTTGGCCAGATTGGTATAAATACTCACCCTAAAGTCCTGTTAACCTCAATGTCTACTGCTTTATACAACACGTGTGCCTTTCAACAATAACAAAATTACAAAGCATGTTAAAAAGCAACAAATAACAATTTGAAGAGACAGAGCACTGTCAGAACTAGACTCACATGTGACACAGGTGTGGAGAATATTGGTCAGGAAATTAAAATAGCTATGATTAATATCTAAGGACTCTAATGGAGAAAGACAAAATGAAAGACCAGATGGGTAATGTCAGGAGAGTGATGAAATTATAAGAAAGAATTTTTTTAAATCATAATCATGGTAACAGATTTGAAGAATGACTTTAACAGTCTTATCAGTAGACTTGACACATTCAAGGATAGAATCAGTAAATGTAAAGGATAGGTCAATAGGAATTACCCAAACTGAAATGCAAGAGAGAGAGATAGAAAACAAAAACACATACAGTATTCAGAAACTGTGGGACAGTATCAAGGGATGGAGAAAGAAACACCATGCAAATAATAATCAAACCAGTAGTAGCTGTGTTTCAGACAAAGCAGTCTTCAGAACAAGGAAGATTATTAGGGATAAAGAGGCACATGACAAAGTGATAAAGGGGTCAGTTCTTTAAGGGAACATGTAACAATCCTAAAAATGTAGCACTTAATAACAGACCATCAAATTACATAAAGCAAAAACTGATAGAGATAAAAGTAGAAATAAAAAATCCACAATTGTCCTTGGAGACTTTAAAACCTCCCTCTCAGTTATTGATAGATTAAACAGGCAGAAAATCAGTCAGGATATAAATAACCTGAACAGCACTCTCAACCAACTTGACTTACTTGACATGTATAGAACAATCCATCCAGCAGAAGTGAAGTACACATTGTTCTGAAATGTAAATGAAACATCCACCAAGATAGACCACATTCTGGGCCATAAAAAAAAAAAAAGCTCAACAAACTTAAAAGAATCTAAAACATAGAGTATGTACTCTGATCACAATGGAATCAACTAGAAATCAATAACAGAAAGAGAAAAGTCTCCAATATTTGGAAATTAAGCTATACACTTCCAAAAACTGTATAGGTATAAAGTCTCAAAGTTAAAAATATTTTTAACTAAATGAAAATGGGATATACAGCTTATCAGAATTTATGGTAAGCAGCTAAAGCAGTGGTTGGAGGGAAATACGTAGCAATAAATGCATTTATTAGAAAAGAATAAAGCCTAAAATCAATAACCTATACTTCTACATTAGGAAATTAGATAAAGAAGAGCAAACAAAAGGAAGGAAATAGTAAATATTAGAGCAGAAATCCATGATACTGAAAATGGGGAGAAAAAAAACAAGAATACCAATAAACCCAAAGCTGTTTATTTAGAAATATCAATAAAATTGATAAGCCTCTAGCCAGGCTAACCTAGGAAGGAAGGGAAAAGAGACAAATTACCAATGTCAAGAATTTTTTTTTTAAAGATTTTATTTATTTATTTGAGAGAGAGAGAGAGAGAAACAGCATGAGAGGGAAGAGGGTCAGAGGGAGAAGCAGACTTCCCGCTGAGCCAGAAGCCCGATGTGGGACTCGATCCCAGAACTCCGGGATCATGACCTGAGCTGAAGATGGTTGCTTAACCAACTGAGCCACCCAGGCACCCTACCAATGTCAAGAATTTTATCACTGATCCTAAAGATACAAAAAGGACAATAAGAGGAATACCAGAAACAACTTTATGCCCATAAATTTGATAATTTAGATGAAATGGACCAATTCCTACAAATATGCTACTATAGACTGAATTGTTTGCCCCAAATTCATGTTGATGCCCTAGCCCTGCCCCCCCATACTACCGTATTGGAGACAGGGTCTGTAAGGAGGTGATTAAATGAGGTCATGAGGGTAGAGCCCTAACCCAAATGAACAGGTGTCCTTATAAAAGGGGAAGAGTAGTGATATTTTCCAGTGATAGCTCCCCACCCCCAACCCTCTTTCTCTCATGAGGACATAGTAAGAAGGTGGCCATCTACAAACCAGGAAAAGAGCTTTCACCGGGAACTGAATTGGCTGCTGCCTTATTCTTGGACTTCTAGCCTCCAGAACTGTGAGAAAATAAATTTCCATTGTTTAAGCCACCCAGTCTATGGCATTTTGTTATGGCAGCCTGAGCAGACTAAGACAGACACAAACTACCAAAATTTACTCAAGAAAAAGTAAATAATGTGAATAGTCCCAAATCTACTAAAGAAATAGTAGTAAAAAAATTTAAAAAAAAACACCTAGCCAAGATGGTTTCACTCATGAATTCTACCAAACATTTAAGAAAGAAATATCACCAATTCTATACATTCTCTTCCATAAAATCAAATAATAAGGGACACTTGCCAACTTATATTTTGAGGTCATCATTACCCTAATACCAAATTTAGACAAAAACAGTAAAAGAAAGGAAAACTATAGACCAGTATTTCATGAACATAAATACAAAAATCCTTGCCAGAATATTAACAAATTGAATCAAACAATATGTAAAAAGGATAATACATCCAGACCCAATAAGGTTCATCCCAGGAATACAAGGCTTTTTCAACATTAAAAAAAATCAGTGCAATCCAATCCACCATATGAATAGACTAAGAAATGCCATATGATCATCTCATTAGGTTCAGAAAAACAAATTTAGCAAAATTCAATACCCATTTATCATAAAAGCTAAAAAAATTGGGAATAGAAGGGGACTTTATTAACCTAATAAAGGACATATTTGAAAAATATACAATAAGCATCATACTTAATGTCAAGAGACCATATGCTTTCTCCCTAAGATCAGGAATAAAACAAGGATCTCCCTTTCTCACCACTTGGGTTCAACATTGTTTTGGAAATCCTAACTAGTGCAATAAAGCAAGAAAAATAAAGACATGCAGATTAGAAAGGAAGAAATAAAACTTTTTTCATAAGTGATATATGATTATATAGAAATCCCCAAAGTGTCTACAAAAACTCATGAAAGTAAG